TTCACTTGCGTCCGGGGTAGGAGGAAGAACGAACACTAGGCATCGGGAGGTCGTGGCGGCGTGGAGACAAGTGTTTTTGGAAGCTGGCGGAATGGTTCCTGACCGCAACGTCGAGCGACAACTACGACACACCAACATTCCAATCCCACCTCACGATCAACGGCGTTTGGACCTTGTGGTAACATGCTTAAACGTGGCTCGGGGGGTACCGTTATTTTGCGACGTCACTGTGGTTTCCCCCATTTCTGCAGATGGACGGGCACGGGCAGGCACTAGCAATGCAGGTGGTAGCTTGTTGCGAAGTGCGGAAAGGACAAATAATGACACGTACCCGGAGGTAATTAGCAGCGGACTGGGGAAACTGGAATGTCTTGGAGCGGAGGTGTATGGCAGGTGGGGTGATCAGGCAATCGAGTTAGTCCCAAAACTTGCGACATAACGAACCCGCACACTGCATCCTCGTGTACGTCGGGGCGCTGCGTTGGGATTGATGCACAGATGGTGGGGATTATTGGGCATTGCTGTCCAGCGGGCTGTTGCCGGGGGCGTGCTCAATCCTTTTGGGGACCTCCCACGAACGCAAATTGAGACAACGCCCTGGTTAGGGGAACTGGAAGTGGTGTAGTCCCCTTCCTCCTCCTCCTCCTCCTCCTCCTCCTCGTCCTCCTCCTTTGACGCTGCTTGGCCCGTCGGCCGCGTCTTCCCTCGTTTCACCTGCGTTCAGTTTCGGGGCGCAGCACTTGCCCGATTTCTCGGTCCGATGCTGGGGCGCTGGGGGGGGGGGGAAAAAAAAAAAAAAAAAAAAAAAAAAAAAAAAAAAAAAAAAAAAAAAAAAAAAAAAAAAAAAAAAAAAAAAAAAAAAAAAAAAAAAAACTGGTCTTATACTTTCCCGTCCCTCTACAGGAGCCACATTCACATATCGAATATTTTACTCCGTAAATAGTGTGCAATGTACTCCGCGGTGGTTTCGCCGAAGTAGTCTGCAGCGACAGCTTTCTCACGAATAATCTCGTATGCATCCGACGTGTTCCCTCTAGGTCGACGAAAGATCTAGTGTGCATTCTATTCGTTGGTGTTTTTCTGAGGTGAAGCCCCCACAGGAAATCGCCTTCCTCGTGGCCTGTATCGCGCTTGTGGCTCGTTCATTGGGATGGTCGGCACAGGCGGGGTGGATCAGGTAAGAGGGGGGAGGTGGGAAGGAGGAAAGCACTACGTATTGGCAGGGATGGCGCATGTATTTACAAAGGCTGGCATCGGAGGGGAGGGTGGCGGGGTATCTTGGCGGGGTGAGAAAGGATGGGGTCATGTTCTGACAGTTCTGCGTGCATCTACGATTGGTTGCTGGGTGATGTTATGTCTTTCTTTCCGCCTGAATATATCCCGTCGCCATGGCTGGGCGCAGCTCGAATGGGCGATTGTGGCGCCGCACCGAGGGGGATCGGCGGGGTGGGGCAGATGCGACGGGCGCAGACGCATCCTCGGGATCACACATTCGGTAATCGAAGCACTGCGGATGCAGACATTTGACAACGTTGGCAATGTTTCTTGAGCCAGTCTTGCTCGAGCTCTGAGGAGGGTTTTCGGCGATGGCCTCACGTGTTTTCGCGCGGCCCGCATGCCTCCCAAGAGGAAGCGGGGGCGGCCGTCGCTTTTGAGGCAGGTTCTGGATGCGGACGCGGGCCCGAGCTCAGATGACGAGGCCGCCGTCGATGATGCGCCTGCTGTTGTCGTTCCAGCTCGCCGCCGCAAGCCCCCCAAGGCGCCGCCTCCAAAACTTCCCGTGGTCCCGCATGCGATCGTGGTGTGTCCGAGGGAGCCGCTCTTGCCCGTTCCAACTTGCGATATGGGGGCGCTCGTGCACTCTACCGTCAGGCAGTTCCCTTTCTTGTCACCTGGGACCCCGCTTGCGAACGCGGCCTTGCTCAGGGTTGCTCGTGACTTCTTGGCACATGGGGACAGGAGTGCGGTCGGCAGGTCTTTCCAGGACGATGGCGACCGCTACGGGAAAGATGGCAAGTGGGTTGCATTGCAGCGGCGGAGGATTGCATCATCAGGGGAACTTGTTGAGCGGAATCGCCAAGTGGCGTTTCAGGTGGGCGGGGGTGGGAATCATTGGGGTGGGATCGTCGGGGCGGTGCCGACCTGCCGCCGCATGCCAGCCTTTCGCCGCCGATATCCCTGGTCGGGTGCGGGAGGGGTGGACGGGGGCAGCGGGCATGGGGCATGTGAGGGTTGGGGTGGAGAGAGCATGCAGTCCCGACAGCCCGCGCGCACCCCAGGGCTTCCTCGGCCGCCCAGCTGGATCAGCTGACGTGGAGCTGGTGGCCATCGTTGAGGGCGTGCGGTACGACGAGGCGACTAACTTGCTCACGGTGAGGCAGGACAGCGGCGTCCCAGAGTTTCAGGACCACGTCAACCGAGCCTTGGATAGAATCGCAAAGCTTGCAGTTTTCAAGGAGGCCGTCCCAGCCAAACTGTTCCAGACGGAGCATTCGTATGGAGTCCTTTTCGCAGTTCGTCAGCCAGGGTCAGGTCATAAGAAGTTCATCTGCGTTCGGAGCCATTGCGTTGGCGTGCCAAATGTGTTGCAACGCACAACTGCAGAGATCATCGCGCAGGCCCTGAAGCTGTCCAGTTTCGTTCGGTGCATGCCGTTCAATGTGGCGAAGTGCGGTGTTCGGCTGATTTGCAGCGACCGCTACGCAGCCCAGTTTGTAGCCGAGCGCTTGATTCAAGCTGAGCGGCCTGGCTGGACTCGCTTACACCTCGGATGCGAAGTTCACAAGTCGACGAGCTCCCAGGCGAAGGGTTTGTTGTTGGCGGATTGGTGCGTATCAGGCTGCATCCGAACGGCTTTAAGTCTACGGCTGGGCGGGTGGATGAGGTTATTCAGACAGTGTCTACTCAACGAGGTGACGTCCACCATCGACATCAAGCGAGGCCAGTGTCCGCCCGAGGCGGCCAGGCATCGCCAGATGTGCCTGCGCTTATTCGCTGGGAACGAGGCCAAGCGCCAGAGGAGGTTTCAGTGCATCCTGCAGTGCCTGCCCAACGGCGACTGGACTCGCACAGACTGCGTCGAGGTGTATCTGCGGGAGGGCGTTGACTACAACGAAGAACAAGTTGCAGGCCTCGTCGCGAAAGGTCTCATGTTGTGCCTCGCTCAGAACACTTTTATGATCTTCAACCGAAAACGCTGGACCAACAACGACAAGGCCGTGAATCAGCTCGGCCTTTTGCAATGTTGCCACGGGCTCTTGGTTAGAGTATACAAGCGGTGGCTGCGGCAAGCTGGCTACAACGGCAGCCTGGAGATCGGCCATCGCGACCACCCGAGCCGATCCTCGCAGGCGGCAGGCGCTCTGGCCATCGCCGACGACTTTGACCCCGCAGCTGGTCTTGCCGCGCCCGCCGAAGCTGGACCTGAAGGGGGCGATGGTGATATCCCAGGAGGCGATGGCGCGGCGCCGCCCGCAGCATCTCCAAAGGACGCCGACCCATTTGCCGTTGTCAACGCTAAGAACCGCAGGATGGCTTTGCGCTGGATGAATGGCGAGCCCACCAGCGACCTTATCATTATCAGGCTGGTAATGGAACCTACTATGATGATATCGCGGCGGCAGCTGTATATCGCTTCAGACGCTTGGGAGAGGGAGCAGAATATAGTTGCTGCCAGTGGCGGGGCAGCGCACGGCAAGCGAGATTTCCGCATCCTCATACCAGCCAGGGGCGAGCTAGATGCGCACTTCGCCGATTGCCACCATCAACTGATGACAACCGAGGGGTTCTTCTGGACGGCGATGCCCGATCACTGCATCACTGAGTACTGGAGGTGTCCGGGGTTCAGGTTGGCGAGCAAGGCTGCTGCGGAGTACCACAGGACATTGACCTCCGTGCACAGGAGGCCTCCTTTCTTGTTGTTCCTCATTGTGAACTACCCCGCGGTCGCGGGACAGGTGAAGAGGCTGCCCGAATGTTTGCTGGACCCTTTCACGAAGCAGGTTCTGGGCAAGTTCGACTTGGGTTCGCAAGAACTTAAAGCGTTCTTGACGCTTCTCATGATGATGGGCTACACGGACACCGCGGAGATCGAGTGTTGGCATTCATGGGTGAGGCGATTTCTCGTTCGCAGGGGTTCTCAAACTAACAGGCCAGATGTGCAGGATTTGAATGCCCAGGCCTTCGCCCACAGGCTAAAGACTAGGAGCTCTGAGCTGCTCGAGTGGCTGGACGCCGAAGCAGCGGACCATTACTACGAGGATTTCAACCAGGGCCCAGACGACCCCGACGAAGACCCGTCCAGCAACGCTACCAAGAAGCAGCGGCGGGGTGGCGGTGGCGAATGGAGGGCGTACGTCAGCAGCCAGCTTCGCAAGGGCGTCACTGACTTCCACACGATGGCGCTCAACTACCGAGAACGGACCGATGAAGAGCGGCAGCAAAACATTATGGACGGGCGTGCCGCAACAGTCTTGCACAGAGCAGGTCAGCCCGCATTCGGGCCATCGCAGAAGGAGAAGCGCATCCAGGCGCTTCGCCATGAGGCCATCGCGTTCAACCGACGACACCCTCTAACAGATCTCACTGCCTTGTCTTCGGCCCCTGCGCCTGCCGCCGTGGTGCTGCAGAGCCATACGGACGAGCGGGTTGACCACATGATGGCGTTGGTGGCCGCCGTCAACAGGGTGGATCGCCAGCGGCGCGAGTTTCGCGAGGAGCAAGGCGCCATGGTGATCCGTGAGTTCGTCAGGACTAAATCAGCCGAGCTGCGCCGAGAGGTGGTCTCGCACATTCAGTCGCTGGGCCCTTGGGCTGGGCGCCTCGTGGCAAAGCCAGTCTTGGATGCGTCTGGGTTGGAGCTCAGCTGTTGCGACTACTTCTGCGAGGCTGACCGTTGTGCGGTTTCTGTTGCGAGGATGCTTGCTACTGCCCCCACGGCGTCGGGCGGTTGGGGGGGCGCCCTGGACTCCTACTGGGCAGCTCGCCACAGGCCAGTGTTTCAAGAGGATTGGCGCGAGCCTACATGCAGTGGCACAGACGAATCTACATGCTATAAGTATGGGTTTTGTGTGTGCTGCGAGGCTGGCCGCAAAGTTCAGAGGTTCCGCAACTCCGTGCTGGCGTCGATCAAGGAGCTCGCGCCGAGGCGCAGCAGATGGAGAGACATGCTGGTCAATGGGTTCATCGTGATGCGCCTCAAGGGCACGCCCGTCAACTCGGCCCTCGCGGGGCTTGCTGATGACGACCCAGACATTGCAGACTTGGACAGTATTTACACATGGTGGCATATATCGGACATTCTTCTTTCTCCGTATAGCCCCGTCGTGCAGGTGATGGGTTTCGCTTTCGAGGACGACCGAAATGGTTTACTTGACACGGCCGCGGTTATCTTGGAGGCCACGGGGGGAGGAGGAGATGAGGGGAGCGGCGGGAACGGGGGGATGTGGGGAAGAGCGGGGGGATCGGGTCGGATGGGGTGAGAGGGGAGCCTGGTCCCGAGAGCCCGCCCGCAGGCGAGTTGCGAGTACCTGGTTGAATTCGAGGCTTTCGCCCACTTGGACATCGACAATTACACTTGGAAGCTGATGTTCTATAAATTATCTGAGGCCTCTGTTCATCTGCCACGCTGGGACTTCGTGCTTAAGTGTCAGCGCGCCATCCCAGTTGAGTCGGAGATGCAGGTATGGCCGCCGCCCAGGCGCCCCCATCATCCGAAGCCAGCAGGCGGGGCTGGCAGGGGAAGGGGGAGGGGGCGGGCTGCTCGGGGAAGAGGCGGAGCACGTGGTGGACCCGCCAGGGGCCCAGGTGGTCGCGGGGCGGGCAGGGGCGCCCCTCCAGAGCCCATCGTGGACGCGGACCCCGACGATTCCGATAGATCGCCAGACGGCGGGGGCAGTGATGGGGGTGATCATGCAGACGTATTCGACGATTCTGGCGACGAGGCAGGCCCTGAGGATGGAGAGGGCCCGCTTGAGGACCCAGGGGATCCAGCGGAGATGCTGATCCCAGACGACCTCCAGGAGATGGGGGCAATCTGGGCAGTTCGTTCTTGCCTGCGCTCCATCGTTCTTCCCCCCCCCCCCCCCGTCTGGGCCCTCACCCGCCCCGCCCTCGTCAGAAACAGTTTCGTTATCTTCATCACATCCCCCTGATGAGGGCGGGGGCGGCGGCGACGATGGCGATGGCGATGTAGATGGCGACTGCGTCGACTACGACGACGACGACGACGGCGACGACGACGACGACGACGACGACGACGGCGGCGGCGGCGGCGACGACGACGACGACGACGACGACGACGACGACGACGACGACGACAGCAACGTGCACGGCCGCAGCATCATGCCCTCCCCCCCGCCCGATCGCCCCAGGAAGAGATCATACACGCGGAGCTCGTCGGTGCCGACCCAGACACGCCCGAGGGCGGAGGCGGCAGCGATGCGCCAGGTCTCCCAGGTGAAGGCGGCGGGGATGACGGCGGGTCCAGTGACGGCGGGGAGGAGGGCTGCGGCGGCGGGTTGCTCGGAGAGGGCCCAGGCGGCGACGACGCCCCCATTGGGGCTGAAGGCGTCGGCGGCATCCCCGACGCCGCTGGGGGGGCGGCGGCAGCGGGGGCGGCAGGCGGCCCTGGAGCAGAGCACCCTCCCCCGCCGCCCCCCGCCGCTCCAACCTCACGGGACAAGTCGGACGCCGTGGCATACCTGGACGGTGGGAAGATCTCGCTTTATTTGAAGCATCGCAGGGTCGAGGCTACTTGCACGAATCCTTTCCATGGCAAGTGCGTTAAGACCCGCACCATGGTGTATAGTTACAGGGCGAAGGTACCCCCTCTCGCTTACTGCGCAGCGTGGCTCAAGAAGGGCCACGTGGCAACGAGGGCGCTCCATTGGGCGCCAGAGCACGAGCCCACTGCTGCTGAGCTGGCAGGTGCGCGGCATGAGTTGAACGCAAGCGGCGATCCAGAAGTAGCGACACTTCTTCGCGCGGGGCGCGAGGGCTATCCCGATGCTGGGCTGTAGCGTAGTGCGTTTGTTCGAGCCCCCACTGGGCATTGGGCCAGATCCCCATCGAGTGCCGCTCTCCCACCGTTTCGTATCGTCGGGGCCGCCCTTTGCCACCGTCTGAGTTTTCTTGTATCGCGATCGGGGCAGCCATTGGGGCCGCCTCAGAGCAATTTGGAGCCCTCGAGGGCTTATCCGAGGGGGCTGAGAGGGCCCCGATATGGGCCCGCGTGGGCGCGCGATCTTGATGCACATCATCTCTCATTGGTTTGCGCATGGTGCAGGGCGCGCCTGCGGTTTGCTCTTGGGGCTCTCTCTGGGGCCCTTACGGTTTTCAGGGGGCTGCTCGGATGCCTCGAGGGCCGCATTGAGCGCATTGGTGGGCCCCGATCAGGGCCCGCTTAGAGCCGAGGGGCGTGCCCCAAGCCACAGCTCCCTCACCCGCCCACCCCCGCATCCCGTCGCCTTCCTCGCAGCGCCATCATGCTACATGCGTGCCCACCCTCCGCGCCCTCCCAGCACTCTTCGCCGTCGCCGCACTCGCCCTCCCACCGCCGAGGGAGCTTCGGGAGGCCCGCGCAGTCGCCGCAGAGTTTTTCGGCGGCGGCTGCCGAGGAAAGCACTCCCTGCATTGTACTTCTCTGGCGCCCGCCCAGCGGGGGTAGTCTGCGCAGAGTACTTCTCGTCGGCCCCAGGGCCGCGCCCCCCCCCCCGCAGAGGACCCCTGGCGGCGCAGAGTACCTGGCAGAGTACCTCGCAGAGTACTTTTCCTCGAGAAAAGTACTCTGCAAAGTACTCTGCAAAGTACTCTGCGGGACGGAGGGGGCGGGGGGGTACCCCGCGGGCTGGGGTGCGGCGCGGGGCGCGCCGAGATGTACTCTGCGCGGAGTACTTGGGGCCCGAGGCTGCGTGGCGGGTACTCTGCGCTGACGACGCCGCCACAGTTGCGGGCCAGGGTCGGTGCCGCGGGGGTCGTCTTGCTGCAAGCTTCTCGGCGCCCCTCCCACATCCCCATACTACCTCGCCAGCCCCTCGAAGCCTCTGCTGCGGTGTCTCCGAGCACCGACCCCATCCCTGCTCGCCCCCGCCCTCCTCTCCTTGCCCGTCGCAGCCCCAGCGTGACATAGTAAGTGCTTGTCTTGCACCCCTCAGCCGAGCTGATGGGCGCTGCGCGCAGTCGCTGCACTTGCCTCGCGTGTCGCGTGTCGCGGACAGCGCGGCCGCTGCACGGCGTGGAAAATGATCGGGGACAGGGGGTGGCCTTGGAGGGGCTGCGCAGTGAAGTGCGGCAGAACGTGCGTGCTCCAAGATGACACCCTGACGCGACCCCAATGGGGCCAGGGTCACCCAGGCTCGGTTGGAACGGTTGTGGGTCAGGATCGGCCCATTCCGCCCCAGGCCCTCCCGCGAGGCCTACACCGATTTAGACGTGTCAAATACGGCACCCAGTTAACCCGATAGTGCCTCCAAAATGGCGCAGGATGCCACAGGATGGCCCCTGGCGGGCCCCCGAGGGCCATATTCGCCTAAAGTCGGCTGGAACGGATTTGGGCCAGGATCGACCAAATCCGTGCCGAGCCCCCCCGCGACGGCTTGGGGTGCATAGGGCCCGAGGCGGCTCCAAGATGACTCCAGGTGGCCCGATATTCTTCCCAAAGTGGCGCAACGTGCCCCGTGATGGCCCTATGAGGGGCCTGAGGCCCAAGGATAGCTAGAGGCCTTGATGCTCGTGGCCACCCCTGGGCGTTACGGCCACTAGGGGGGGGGCTGCACGTGTAACGCTTTTGCCGTTCCCCAAGCGCGGGGAGGGGCTTTACACCCACACGGGGGGGGGGGTCTGCCTGAAACGGCGCCCCCCTTTGTGTCCCACCTGTTTGTATGGATGTTGCTTCGCAACTGTTCCGATTCCGATTCCGATTCCGATTTGGGCTAGAATATGCCAAAACGGTGCCACGCCCGTCCGCGGGGTCTCGGAGCGTACAGGATGTTTCCAATATGGCTTTAGATCGCCCAATATTGCTCCCCAAACGGCGCAGGATGCCCCAGGGTTGCCCTCAGCGTGCCCCCGAAGGGCCATAACCGCGCAAAATCGGTTGGAACGGATCTGGGCCAGAATCTACCAGATCCGTTCCAAGGCCTTTGGTGGGCCATTGGACGTCCAAGATGGCCCGAGACGGCTTCCACGCGGTTTCCGAAAGACCACGAGGGGGCCCAGCAGAGCGCCTCGGGGGGGCAAAGGGCCCATACGGGCGACGCCCGTGTGGAGATCCAGGGCAGCCCGTGAGATCCGTGCTGGAAACTTAAGAGACCCCCGATTCGGGTTTCCGGAACAAATAATTGTTTTTTTGTCCGGAGCTAATGAGAGGGGGCCTTGCGCGCCAACCTTCCTGTGGCCTCAGGAAATTCCAGGAGCAGCCCAGCCACGCCCCCCACGGGATTCAAGAGGGCCCCGAGACGGCCGAGGAGAGACCAACCAAAGAGGTCCAAGGAGGCTCCCCAGATTTTCGAGCCGTTCGGGACGCCAACCGCCAGCGCGGCCTCCTCCAGCTGGGCGAACATGCGGCTCCAGCGTCAAGCCAGCGGGGGGTCCAAGATAGGGCCCGAGGGAGCGCCCGCCCCATGAGGTTCATGAGGGCCCCGAGAGGAGGGCGACGATGGGTGGGGGATGTGAGGCGCCAGGCGCGCATTTGGCATCGCATCCGTTGTCGTCGTCGGAACCGTCGTGCCGTAGCTGTTTTGGCTCGACTCGACTCGAGCGGCGAGGCGGTGCCTCGCGTTGCTCGCCAGCGCAGAGCTTCCTTTTCAACTCTTACACGCTTCCTCCTCAACGCTTTCATCTACCTCGCAGCCATGGGCGGTCGTGGGAAGAGAGCCAAAAAAATGAAAGCAACGGCGGCCGACGAGTCCGATACCGCTTCTGCATCGGCGCCGCCTCCGAAGGCGGCGAAGTCCGCCCCGCTGGTGGTCGGTTCGCCAGCTCCCCGCCAGAGTCGCCGAGGCGCAGGATCGAAAGTCCAGATCTGCCTGAGGTGCAAGCAGAGCGACAAGGCGGTTGAGTTCGCCCTCGACCAGGACCTCGTGCAAGCACAGGCTGGCCAGTGCGTTCTTTGCCACGGCCTCTGGCTGCCTCTCGTAATGATCATGACGTGGCAGGAATTCTGCCAGAAGTACGAAGACGATGAAGACTTCAAGCGGAGGGTGAAGGCCGCGGCCAAGAACCCCAACAAGATACAAATATACTACACGGGCTTCTTCAAGAAGGACGTGGCCAAGGTTCACAAGTACGGCATCGAGGTTTCTCGGCAGGGCAGCCTCCTCACGGAAAAGGACGTGAAGGGCGAGCTGAAACAGACCCCGAAGCAGGCAAACCTAAACGGACCGATCGAGCTCGATCTCCCCACTGGCGACTCTCACGAGGGTTACTTGTTCTTGAACGGCCGCAGCAAGTACCTGGACGTCAAGGTGTTCGCCATCACGTCGGTCGACTCGTCGGAGTTCACCTCCGACAAGACCCATCAGGTCCTCGACATCGCGCCCGAGGCGGTTCAGAAGGCCCTCGAGGACTTCGACTTCGGGAAGAACAGCCTCATCTCCAACTTCCTGGCAGGCAAGGGGCCTCATCTGAAGGAGGCCTCTCCGCCGCGGCCGCGGCGCTCCATGCGCGGGCGCATGCGGCGCTCCTCGACGGCCTTCGACGATAGCGGCCCTTCCGATCGGTCCGCGTCGCCGCCGAGCGCGGGCGGCAGCTGCGCCGCGGGCGCGCGCCGCGGGCGGTCCAGGTCGCGCAGGAGGGCCGTCGCCGCAGGCAGCCCAGCTGGCAAGACAGCCGCCGCTGGGTCTTCCAAGGCTGCGGTGAGCTCCTCCACCCACTTCAAGGGGGGCGCCGCGGACACAACCCCGAAGACTCCGAAGACGGACATCACCATCACGGTGGATATCGGTCAGGGGAAAACGCTGAAGGCGGCCTTCATGATGGTGTTCGATACCGACTTCGAGGAGAAGGCTGAGGGCGACGGCGATGAGTCCAGGAGCGTTGCAGAGAGCGAGGCAACACGCGTAACGGGCGGAGGCAGCAGGCCGCCGAAGATGAAGAGGGGCGAGGTCTTACCGTGCAGCTACTGGATCAATAAACTACCGATTCCCTCCATCCTGATGGTCGCTAAGAGTGATCGGCGTGACCTCAGGCAGGCCGCGGCGGCAGTGACTCGAGAGCTAGGGAAGAAAACGGACCAGGATAAGGACGTGCACAAGTTGAAGGCACACCTCAAGAACGTCGATCACGCCAAGAGGCTGACCCAGACTGGCGCGCAGGGCGCCGAGGACACGGACCTCATGGACGCTTTGAAGGCCATGGAGAAGATTGGCCAGACGTTGCCCCACACCACTCTCCTTGGTATTCTCCTCCGCCACACGGACAAGCTGTCCAAGGCTGTCTTGGCCACGGCGCGGACTGAGGAGATTGGGCAATTGTGGGCAGCCGCAGTGCCTTTCGGCGCTGGCCCAGAGACCAAGTTCGATGTCATTGCGCCGCGGGTGGCGGTCATGGCGCCGCTGTTCGAGCCCTCCGATGTGTGCGAGACGTTCACCAGGATCATGGTCAGGGGCATCCTTGGGCCCGTGATTGAGAAGGTGCAGAAGGTCGGTGACGAGCCGTGCACCGTCCTGTGCAGGATCTGCGACGCGGGATTGCAAGCTATGGACCTGTCCGAGGATGAAGACATCGACTCGGAGTACCTGACGATCGCGCTGAATACTAGCAATTGCCTGCGGGCGCTGAAGACGCTGTTGTACCCCGCCCTGGGCACGGGCGTGAACTCCGACGGTTACGAGGCGATCTCCGACGTCTACGATGCGACGACCAACGATGATGAGGGCGTGCCTTTCGAGATCGGAACCAAGTTGGTCGCAAGCGATTTCTTCGCCCCTATTTTCACCAAGCTGGCCGAGAACAAAGATGTCATTCTTGGGTTCGGCCAGAAGTTGCCTGGCGATGTACGGAAAGCGGAGCTGGCGGTGAC